ATTTGCAGAAAGAAAAAAATTCGCCCCTTAATAACATGTCTGTTTTAAAAACCAAGGTTATATTAAACAGACATGGGAGGACAGAGGTCCACGGACCACTAAAAAAAAATAAAAATAAGACGACGACCCCAAGGGGTACAATCGACGTCAAATCCTCCAAGGAGGAAAGACGAAGACTTAGCAAAAGTCCAAGGAATTTTCTAAGACAAAAACCCCAAGGGGTACAATCGACGTCAAATCCTCCAAGAAGGAAAGACGAAGACTTAGCAAAATTCCAAGGAATTTTCTAAGACAAAGACCCCAAGGGGTACAATCGACGTTGAATCCTCCAAGAAGGAAAGACGAAGACTTAGCAAAATTCCAAGGAATTTTCTAAGACGACGACCCTAAGGGGTACAATCGACGTTAGATCCTCCAAGGAGGAAAGGCCAAAGACTTAGTCAAAATTCTAAGGAATTCTCTAAGAAAGCGACAATTACAAATCAAGGTATAAATTAAATCTATTGCCTTTTATATATATAAAGTGCAGATAAAATAAAAGATGTCCAAATCAACAAAGAGTTACAAACAAGAGGGAGACAGGTAAAAATCATTCAGGCCTCGCCGCCAGCCGCCGATTCTTCACCGTCACCAGGCGGGGAAACGTTGTTGTCGCCAACAGGGGGAGGAGAGTTATAAAGGAAGCTCAAATCCCACTCAGGACGCTCCTTCTTGATCAGGTCGACAATTTGTTGACCCGCAGATTGAAAATCCCTGGTACGGATGTCAGTGAGCTCCTGAGAAGCCTTGAACTCCTCAATAATCTCGGCGCGCCTGGCGTCGAAAGCAAATGCAGCTTCTGCCTCAGCTTCCTTCTTCCCCTCAGTTTTCCCCTCAACAAAACGCTTCTCCGCTTCCCTAGCTGCTTCAGACAACTTTTTGTCAGAGAGGTCCGCCCGCTCCTTGAGACTCGCGACCTCATTTTTCAACTTTTGTAGTTCATCTTCCAGACTCGCCAGCTTGGCCAAGGCCAAGTCCCTCTTCTCAACAGCATAATCTAGCTTCTTTTTGGCGTCGGAAACAAGGGACTGAAGCTTGGCCTCCAGTTCGTCCATCTCATTTTTACGCTCCTCGACCTTGACGAGGTCAAGGAGGTTGAGAATGGAGAGGACCAGGATGGAAAGAACCAGGCTCTGAAAAGTTGAAGGTCAGAAAAGCAGAAATACAGAACGACGAGCTAAAGAAAAAAAAAGGAGTCTTACATGGATCTGGAAGGAAATCTGTTTTCGCTGACGGTCGACCAAAGAAGAGTGGGCGGCAGCAACCCAATGTGGCTCAAGAAAGGACTCATAAAGAGCCTGAAAGACGAGGGAGAAGCGAGGGGAAAGTTTCACCATCGCCCCAATCTCGGCATCAGATATATCCGAGACTTGGAACTTGGGGTCCATAATTTTAGCCCCTGGAATAAGCACGTGCTCTCTCGGCGCCAGTGGAATGTTGACGTCGGGAATGGGGACCGTCGGCGTCCACGTTTCTATCACCAGTGTTTTTTCCCTGCGACTCTTTTTTCGCACAAGTTCTGCCTCCGACCTCGAAGGACCCTTGGTCTTCCTGCTCTTTGGGACGCGGGAAGAAGAAGCTTTCTCTTTTCCCTTCGACGGGGGCGGATGGCTCAGCGGGGGCTGTTGGCTCGGCCCAGACTGCTGGCTGCCAGGAAGTTGGATCTTCAAAGACGCCATCTCTGCTGGAAACGACGAGGTTAAGATACAGTCAGCATTGGAAGAGCCCAAGTCACAATCAAGAAGGGCGTCGAAAGCAAAGAATACCTTCGTCGTTTAGGTGAAAGTATTGACGGATAGCGTCTAAATCAGCGGGGTCTGGGAGATCAAGGATTAAACCAGCGTCGCGAAGGTTTTTCTTGGTCAGAAGCATTTCGATATGGCGAACCTCTGACGAGAAAGAAAAAGCCTTCTCAATCCTCGCCAAGCTGTTCCCAGAGAACTTCGGCCGGTCCTGACTAACTATAACGCGAATGGAATGTCAGTAGAAGGACGGGAAAAATCAAAGTCAGATAAAAGAAAGCCAAAAGACTTACCCATGTTCCCAGACGCCGCCTGCACCTGCCTTCGACGGGGCAGGCGATCGTTGGGATGAAAGTTGAAAGGCCCCCGAATCATGAAGAACATGGGCTTCCACCCATGTGACGACGAGGGAGTGCCCAGTATAAACTTCCCAAATCTTGGCTGGGACCTCCCATGACCACTAAAAAAATACCACCCCTCACACTTGGCGACGTGACATAGCTTATACATGAATCAGAACTCATCTACAGGGAGTTCCATGTCGAATTGCTGGTGCTATAAAATCCAGGCCCCAGCGAAGCAGTACCAGAAGTTCGGCGCCAGCTGAGCGGGGGAAATGCCGTAAAAGTGGCAGTAGTCTTTTACAAAGGAGTGAACTGGGAGGGTCATCCCCGTAGTGACAGCTCTAGTATAGACCGGAAGATATCCGGTCGGCGGCATGCTGGTTCTAAAATGCACGTCCGGGAGAAGGTATTCGTACCACCTCCCGTCAATGCACCCTTCCTTCACAGCCTGGATGATATCCTTGTTCCCGACCCTCGACGCCACAACGTCGGCTGTGAAGAAAGGCCTATCCGGCTCACCGCTCGTGGCAGCCAGAGGGGCATCTACCGTCGAGGCAGCCACCCCGCCTACGTCGCCCCCCGTGAAAGGGATCCGTTCTACTGCCTCATCCAAAATCCACTCGAAGCTTTCAAATTCACTACCAAAGCTATCGCCTGGTGCGTATCTAGTTTCATGTCCAGCCCTGATGTCTTCTATGTCTTCTATGTCTCTCAGCACGGAATCGACGCTGGAAGACGAAGAAGACCAGGAGATCTCCACCACAGAAGGGGGGTCTGGGCAGACGACGGGAGAGTCCTCTCGACTGGGAGAACTTTGGGCCATTGTTATGGTAATTAAACAGGCAAAAAGCTAAGTTAAAATCCTAACGTCGAGAGGATGAAAGGATGGCTATCCTAAGCAATGAAAACTCAAACTCCTCGACTTAACGCCGACCATTCATATGAGAATGGTAACGGCGAGTGCTCGTAGGATTCCAGGTTCTCCAGAACCCAGAAACCGGAAGCACACAGACAGCAAGGGGATGATATCCAAAGCGGAAAAATGAAACGGAGTAAGTCTCCCTAACTTCTACATTCCGCACATTCTTTAGACATATACATATAGTTTAAACAAAAAATAGAAGGAGCCCGTGTATAAGAGCAGCAGACATAGGGCAAAAAGGCTTACCGGAGAAGAAGGATTCCCGGGAAAGTCTGGAGAGAAGAACGGCTGCGCGGTGCGCCTCGAAAGAGCAGAAAGCACGAACCAGAGGTTGGAGAGGAAGGAGTCCGTCGGAGAAGGCGGCGGTCCAACAGATGGGAAAAGAATCTGAAGTATTGAAAAAATGGCTCCCGAGTTCGTAGAGGGTATTTAAAGGGACGGGCATCCTCGACCCTGACCGCCAGATGAAAATCTTAAAAATCCAATGGCCAGGGAATCCTGCCCGGATCTGACGGTGATAAGATCGGGCGGGAAGCAGAGAGGTCGCGATCCAATGGCCCGTATCCGTTCTTTCAAAATAAAGCCGTACGTTATCATGAGAAATCAATCGACGCGACGGTTGCGTTCCCCGAAGGATATCTGAAGCACCCAGGCCATCATTGCAAACGGAGGCTCGGGACGGATTTCTCACACCCAAAGCACGAAAGGGCAACCGAACCTAAGTCCGAGGCCACCCAAAAGAAGCCCTCGACCTAGGGGGTAGCTGTTGTGTGGGAAAATGTGACGGGCACGTGGACGAAGTAGACCGCGACACGTGGTCTTGACTAAATCCCCACCAAGCAAGGAACCCTCGACGCTTACGGACCCCTCCTATTCCGCTGCGAAGGCCCAAAGACGAAGTCCAAGTTAGGGCGACGATCCCTTATGGCGTCGACTGATTGCGCCATCGACACTAAGGGATGAAGATCTCTCGACCGCAGAAAGGGCCACCGAAGAAGGCGGTTGGGCTAAGCAGTGCTGACGACGAGGGGAACGTCCTTTAGAGGACGTAACGGGTTACGTGCAGAAGTGGAGGAGGTCGGCAGGCATTAATTGTAAGCTGTCAGACCGCTCCCACAGGGGACAGAAAAGTATTATGGGGAAGCACAGAGCCGTAATAGGAGACTAATTGGCTGAGTGAACAGTGCTGATTAGTGGGCTACGTCTAGGCCTACCAAAGGAGAGCACTTGAGTGCTTCTACCTATGAAGGAAACCCCCTAAGCGAAGGAAGCCCAATATAAAAAAAGGAAGACCCTAGTAAGGAAGGGGTTTGAAAAAAATAACTAGAAAAGAACAGATTTAGTAAGAATTATGATTGTAAGTTGTGATCTTCCAACAAAGATATACAAAATTACAGTAGATGTAGCTCTCATTTTATAGAGTGAACCACTATAAAAACTCCTTGTGTCATTTGTCTGTGTATGATTTAGTTAACTTACAAACACACATATTCAACAAATCCACATACGTTAAACTACACACACGCGGCCGGTAATCCGAAGGAAAACTAAAAGGTAATCCGGTCGGTTTTTTGTTGGTAAAATTTGACTGTCAACATATATATATATTTCCTGTTTTTCCCTTGATAAATAGGTGATTAGTTAATCGGTATACACTTTTAACAATCAAATACACTTCAAAACAAAAATTGTTACCTTGAGTCAGCTAGAACCAAATACACACACACACACACACACACACACACACATATATATATATATATATATATATATATATTGTACCGTATTTTTCTGAGAGATAGAGTGAGAGAGAGGCTGGCATATAATGCTAGCCAAAATTTGTTACTTCTAGAGCCCCGCTAAAAGTCGCTAGAAAATATCAGCAAAGAAATGAACAGACAAGTCTACGCATTATGTTGTACAAAAGAAAAAAGCATGATATTGAAGAGACGATTTAAGAATGTGGTCACACTAAAGCGTAAGGCTATATCATGTCTACAAGTTACATAACAGTATGACCTCGGATGTTGTAGCTCAGTTACAAAATGCATGTGGAAAATGCAACGGTAACTTTAATGCTGTTTGTCTTCTCTTGCGGCCTCCGAAGTCTCTCCGCCATTCTTGGGATTTGCTGGGGCCACCTTGGCGGGGGTCGAACGCTCTGCCTGGGAGAAGCGAATCAATAACTGCATGAGGGCAGTAACGATGGCCAAACCGAAGGCCGTGAATGCAAGGCCCTTTCGTGATGATAAGAGTGAAGACCATTGGAGGAACTTCAGAGCCCCAAAAACAAGTAGACAAGCCCAAGATGTAACAACCTGTTCCAAAGAAGTTGGATTGGTGATTATAGAACCCAGAAAATAATAAAACAGGGAATAGAAAGCCTTTAGAGTTGGAAAGAATCAGTTTCGTATAGAACAACCCAGAAAATAATAAAACAGGGAATAGAAAAGCCTTTAGAGATGGAAAGAATCAGTTTTGTAAGATGATTAGTTAAATTGGAAGAAAGTTCCCCACCAAGAGAGACTTTATTGGTCGCCCTGTGTCTTGCAATTCTTGATCGCCAAAGGTGTCCTCAGCTATATGCTTATCCAATAAAGCATCCTGGTATTCCGCATGGCAAACCGCAAGACAATCAGTAGAAAATGGGATATGAACTAACACAGGCGCTATCAAATTAATGAAAGTACACGGGAAGGTCGAGTTGTGACTCAGAAACTAGAAAGCAGAGATTTTTAGTTTCATTTTACAGACAAATGCATTTGATATATGGGCGAATGAAGAATGAATAAATGCCATATAAAAACTTGATCAATCACCTTGGCCGTGAATGTGTCTCTGCACCATTGTGCAACAGCATCATCACCTTCAGGCAAATCCTTCATCAAATGCCGTTTGAGGTGTACGTGCACCTGCAAGAGAGTAACGTACAAACAACTGGGAGTGTTCATTTACGTAAAAATAAAAATAAAAGAGAAGAGAAACATTAACTAGCATATAAAACTTGAATAAATACTTATTAAGGATAAAGTCATCCCTACTAGGGGGAAAAGAGTTGCGGATTTGGGAATCACAGAACAAAAAAATGCTAAAATTCCGTTGAGAGGTAAGGAGGAAGAGTTCAGAATTATAATAAATGCTTAATTGATGTCTAACGATGCTCTTTTTTTTTTTTTTTTTTAATCTCAAGTACAGTAGCTTACCACTGATGGTTGCCCCTTGAAGATTCTTAGCATTGTAGGTGGAGGAGATGTTTTGGGAATCGCAACTGTCACATCATAAACAGCCGGAACAAATGAGCGCATGTGACTTACAGCTGAAACAAAGCCCTGAAAGAAACAGGAAGACAATATTTAGCATCATGCACGCATTCAGAGCATCATATATCGTAGTGGAAGGAAGATATCCTGTAAATGTTCCAACATCTTCCCGTGCTTATTAACATACAAACCTATTTTACTTAAAAATTAAATAAATAAATAAAACAGATCCAACTCTTTGCCGGGATTGTGTAATTAGTAGGACACAGAAAGGGCCCATAACATATTCAACTCAATATTGAAAAGACAATGTTAGTCCCTATGTTCAAAATTATGATACAAATTGGCTTTCCACCATTCTGGTTCTTTTTCTCAAACCAAAATTGACGTGTGCAAGACCTCTAACTGAACCGAAGGCACAGTCGTTTCATTGCCGAGCATGAGTTTCTGCTAATGATGTGAGTCCCAAATGTATCCCTCAATTCTCACTGTCCTTACAACCCCATGGACAAGAGAAATGAATTCTACCTACAAAGAGCTGAATTTCTTCACTTCTCGTATGTGTATATATTAACTTTTAACATAAAGCAAGTTGCACATTTGACAAAATGGAATAAGAATTTGACCTTAGTACGAGGAATCAGAACATTTCTAGGAACGGGCAGCCCTGTTGAGGCTGCATATTCCTGAGCTGCTAAAAGCTTTGCCTGTGTGAAGCGTGTTCCTTCGACAAAAAGAGCCAACCAGAAAGGCAAAGGGTAGTCTTTCAGCCGCTGAATACCTGACTGCAGATACGCCCACAAGATTCAATTAATGATGATTGAGAAAAAGTAGATACAAAATGAGGCAGAATGTCATAGAGAAAGATGAGGCAGAATGTCAGAGAGAAAGATGTAAGAATGTAAGCATATATTTAACACATATCCATAAACACCATACCTTTAAAGTGCTTTCATCCTTAGCCCAGCTTCTTTCCAGAAATAGGTATTCAGAGAACCACATTGACCAACCTATTACCTGCATTTATGGATAGGATTCACCTTCAAAATAAGTGAAGGAAAGAAGAAGCTAAACAAGATGTATGAAAATGCTAATGGTGAAATAACATTCAGTATTCAGATAGGATTAACCAACATTCATAACCAAGATAAATTGATCAGAAGTATGATTTAAACTATCTTCAGCTTTAATTCCGAGAATTCAGTATTCCTTGAAATCGCGAATAAGCAACAATTTTCAAGTTTTAAGACCAATTAATCACTTTAAACGTACGAACCAAACGTAAACAGTACAAACATTCATTTGAGCATGCTGACAAACATCTTAGGTTCAAACTCGATACATACTGGAAGGAACTTTGATGATTTCTTCATCACTGCTAGCGTGCTGCCAAGGCAACCAGACCGCTGCACAAGCAAACCAGTCAATAAAGTAAAGCAGATAATTGACACTGAACTCAAGATGGACAAAAAATAGTAGTCCATTCCTAACATATATATATGCCCAATATTAGAGTGTAATTTGCATAGTTGATTCTAATTTTATGAGGACATGTTCTGTAAGAACCTCATATAAAGTCTGCATACCTGAGCCACTATCCATCCAACTAACCAATCAATATCACTTCTGTGATTGGATATTACAAGGGCGTGCTCTTTACCTGGAAATACAAAAACATGAGTAGATAAGTACTTCAACATAAAGATGCACCACGCACTGTGTACCAGTCCAAACTGAATATATGCCTTACCCATTAAATGAAAAGTATCACTGTCAGTGTATAATTGGATCTGCAGCAATGAGAAATAACTTATCAAAAGTACATTCATAACCGAAGATAATACCCAGTAGAAAATATGAAAAAAGAGGTGATAAGAAATGCCCTAAATTCTATCAGTCAACTCCATGTACCATCCAAAGAACTATGGTGCATAGTTATTTTGATCATTTTTCCTCTTTCCCATATATAAAGGATTTCATTCAACCATGAGAAGATCTAAAATGGAAAATCAAGTCAACTTCCAATAAACCGCTGAGAATCATCCTCTTTCACCTTTCTAACTTATTTAGGCTTTCATTACGCATCATCACTAGAGAGCTGTCCGGGTATATGACAGATGCAAATGCAAATCCAATGGTAGAGGCGACCTTAAATATTTCAGTAATCTTCCAACAAACCTCTCTTTCTAGACTTTCCCAAACACCATTAACCTAAATGCGCCTTAAATTTCACATGGCAAAATCAGCTAATGGTTGCGCACATCCAAGTTCGAAAAGTGTATAGGCATTTAATCATCAATAGCCTGACTAGAACATAAACTCCATACATGATCAGCGTGCAATATACCAACCTTAAAGAAAACAAAAATCATATAATAACATGAGAAGGAGTTGATTAACACCTTAACACCTGCCCACCAATCAACAACCCATACAAGCTCTAGCCACAACAATTCTGCTACCACTCTGTTGATCCTCCTGTATGTACTCTTGGACAGAGGCCGTATAAGGACGAAGCAAATTGCCTGAAAAAATGGCTCACATAGATGAGATAAATTGAAGTCTCCGTAAAACAAATTACTCAAAATACAGTCAGGTAATCAATATCAGCCGTTTATGAACTTCAAGTTCGAAAACCGTGCTATTTAAGTGAAAGCATATTAAGAAAATTCAAGTGAACTACTCAACCATAATTGTTATATAGAATCACTCTTAAGATTAAACCAATTTCCTAACAACCAAATAAAGCGTGACTGAAAAGACAAATACTCAGGAGCAGAACTTACATTAGATTTACATGCAGGCTTAGAAAACGATATTTTACACATAACAACCACTCAAGAAAACGAAAATTACACTTTTTCTTTTTTCTTTTCCTATCAAATCACAGCAAACAGGTTTGAAGCTACATTGAATCTCCAACCAGGAAAAAAAAGGACGTTATAATATCAAAAACAAAAAGAAAAAAATGAATCAAAACCATCATGACAAACAGAAGCAAAATTGAACGAATCTACCGCTAAGCAAAACCTAATACATTTCGTATAATAAAGGAAACCGAAGAAATTAAACCAAAAAATAAGAAAAAATAAGAAAAAAACCTGAATGAGATTGACGATGAGGCCGGAGAGGAAGAAGAGCAATCCCAATGGCACGATGACGGCCGCTGCAATCGCCATGGCCGTCTCAAATCCACTACCACGGCTGATAATCTGACGAACACGGACGAGCGATTCACGGTTCCAGAATCCGAGAAAACCGAAATTCGGCCGAGAAAACGGCTGAGAAAAGCGAAATCAACACGGAATCGGAGTGAAAAACGGGATTTTTTGCGACGGCGATGAGATTAAGCAGTTGTGTGTTTGTTTCGATTCGATGGACAACGAAAACGATGGCTCCGAAGAGAGAGAAAATTGTAGAGAGAGAAAGTCTGGCTATGGCGTCTGGGCAGTGCTCAGAAGAAAGAAGTTGTAGAGAGAGAGTTTCTTTCTTCTTCTTCTCTCTGTCTCTCCTCTGTGAGAGTGTAAATTCTTAGCGTGTGGGTGATATCGCCCCGCTTTAAACGCTGTTTCTCATTTCAAGGAAAACCGAAGAAAATTTATAAAAAGGTGTACATAACAAATATTTTGCGCCGTTTTGTGTTGTTTGGTTTGCGTTTTGGTCAACATAGCCGTTTAGTTCGTTGATTTAAATTTTCAATTCGAGTTGAAAGATAATTTTATATAAAAAAATTTTATTATAATAAAAAAATTAGATATGACTGTTTCTGAGAGTTTTTTACAATAACAAAACTTAAATTTTAAACTCAAATTGATAAAATGAACAAAATTATAATTATTCACGCCTCCACCCAAAATACAAAATAGGAGAAATTTGGATGCGATATTCTTAGCCCGTATTTGTTTCAACAATTTAAACGGTTGTTTATGATTCAAATCTTAGTTTAGGATTTAAATTGACATTTAGGAAAGAAAAAATCAAAAATAATTCAAATCATTAATGATGGTTTAAGAATTTAAATTGTTGATTTTAAAATTCACATCCCCTCTAAATTCTATCAATCTGAATATTGTCAACAGCGTAATAGTTTTATATTCTACTTTTTTTCTCTCTTCAATTTCAATCTTAAAAATGTCATAACATTTTCATTCTAATTTCAATTGAGATGCTTTTTTTAATGTGTTCATAATAAAAAGATGAACAAATCTTCACTCATATTGCATATTTTTTAATGTCATTTATAATGAGATTTTATAAGATTTGTTACAAAATTCTAACACAGTTTTCAACAATTTATTCAAACACAGTTCGGATTTTATTCTCAATTCAAATTATAATTTATTTGCATATCTAAACAACAGTTCGGATCACAGTTTGAATCACCATAGTTTAAATTCTACAATTCTAACCAAAAAGGTTCAAATCTCCTCAATTTGAGTTTTTGAACCAAATAAGCCCTTAAAGTTTTCTTACAATAAAATTTTACTATTCAAGTTAAAATATAATAATAATAATAATAATAATAATAATAATAAAAGAGTTGTCTATAGTCCCTCAATTTAAAAATGGGGACAAGTCTCTCATGTGTCATTGTAACGGGCTCATATGCCAATCGTAATGACTGAAAGTTTGGCGTAATTCTCTTATATTGAGTCATAACAATTATTATTTTAAAAACTAGAAGTAGTTTTTAAACATATAGCAATAAATGACTGTCATGTACACATGTCATGAATAATTATACGAAAATATTTAAAGGCACATCAATAAACGACTGCCGTTTTTACTGTTAATATTAGTTATTTCATCGTAATCGACAGTCGTTTTAAACCTGAATAATATTGTCGTTAAGAATTACATATGTCGTGTTTTTTTTTAATAGGCACATCCGATCATGCATAAACATTTATTTAGAGCAGTACATGACAGTATTTTATTTACCATATGCTTAAAAATGACTTCTAATTCCAAAATAATAACTGTTACGACTTAATACAAGAGAATTACTATAATCATTTAACCGGTTACGCTAATCCTTTAACCTTTTATAATGGAAAAATTTCCCTTATAAAAATAGTGATGGACCACAGAAAAAACCTTTAAAAAAATTATAATATTTTATGAGGGAGTTTGTCCAATAGTCTAGTTTCAGTTTTTTTGACAGTTGAATATGGTTAAAATCATATCATATTGAAAAAATATGCATAACAGATAAATTATGTTAGACGGTTAAAAAGTAAAAGACTATTGGTCGTCCATTTTTACAAAGTCTATCAGAGAACATCTTTTATAAATAATAAAAATTAGTATCATTAAAAAATAAAATATGCAATATACATATTAGTTATGAAAATATATATGATTAAGATATTTTTACGGTCCATCCAACATAACATGTAAAAAAAAAAGTAACATAACAGTTACTGAACATAATTAATATTAACATTTTGACGTAATATAAAAGTCATTAAATGTAATATTAATTATGTTACGTCTCTCCAACCTCAATGTTACATTTAACTACTTTCATATTACGTTTTTCACTTTTAGATGTTATTTGATGGCCGTCTATTTGCATGGACCAAAAAAGCATATATGATTAAATGGAGAGCACTGACCATTTTTTTTTTTATCTTGAAAAGAGCATTATGTGACGTTTGGCTTATGAATTTAAAATTATGGTTCATTCTTTTAATTTTTAAAATTTAAATTTTTTATGAGAAAAAAACACTATAACAGAACTAAGAACTATAATTCTAAATCAAACAGAATCCTTAAAATAAACGTCACCATAATAATTAGTGTGTATAGTTGGTGACAGTTACTCGGTTTAAGAAAGGTTGACCACTTGATTAGCAAAAAAAAAAAAGGGGGGGCAACCACTGTTGTTATCTTGTTCACCAGTAAATACAAAGGAAGAGAAGATTATTTGCCCAACGGGACTGAAATAATATTCAGAGCTAGTCAAGATTATGTTGATATTTTAGTGTTTGTTCCGTTGTGTTTTGAGTTATGGTGACTTAAGTGTAGATTTTAAGTTGAATTTGAGTTAAAGTTGTAACTTGAGTTTGTGTTTGGATGTGCATATTTGAGTTATGATTTGAATTGAGAATCTATTTGAGTTTGTGTTTGGGTATGTTAAAACTTGAATTTGTATTTAGAAAGTATTTTAATAAAAACTCAATGGTGATAAAAAAAAAATTTAATAAGGTATATGGGTGGGGTTTTTTCATCTCTTCGTTGTGAACAGATAAAAAAACCATCTCAATTAGAATTAAAACGAAAAAGTTATGACATTTTTAAGAATAGAAAAAATAATGTTCATTAACTTGAGTTTGAGTTGAAGGAAAAATTTGAACTCTAAATTTTAGCCCTAAACTCAAGTTAAAACTTGAGTTAAAACTCAAGTTCAAACTCAAATTTTACAAAACCTTGCCAAGTAATATATATATTATATGCCCCCACAAGATGTGATTTAATTAAATTGACATAATAGGAATAAGTACACATAAATGCATGTCTCGTTAAAAATCTTACCAAGTAAAACCCATGGAGAGATCGGGACAAAACCTTAGCAAAGGAAAAAAGAGTGCAGTAGGAAGGAATAGTAAATTACAAACCTAAGTGCTTCCAGAAGATTCTGTCATTTCTAAGTTAGAAAAATATTCTTGCATTGAATCATCCGTATATTGTTGTTTTCATCTTCTGGCATCTTCCCAGTCTTTAACGCACATTAGCCCCTCCAAGATATCTAGATGCATTCTGCTTCTCGTCGAGAATTCGGGTGCTTACGCTAAATGCTTGCTCCGATGCTACTGTTGACATTGGAGTTGTCAGAATATCATGAGCTATTACGGACAGTGTTGAAAAACGATCGGTCTTGTTCTTGCACCACTGTAAGATGTCTAGTTTGTCGTCATCAATTACAAAATTTACTTCAAAATATTTTACTAGTTCAGTAGACGCTTGTGTTGATGACGATACTGTCGTTTTCTCTTTCTTCTTCAAGAAACTCCACGACGATCCTTTAGGCCCCGAACTGCTAGTTGACATCGAAGTTCCCTATTCTTTTTGACCCGTGTCGTATTTTGCTTTATACAAACTAAATATCTTTTCTAACATTCTCTTAGCGTCAGTAATAGTTAGTTGCATATCCATTCCTAATTTTTCTGTTGTAGTAGTCATCAGTGAGTTAGTCTCATCTACTCTGCACCTAGGATCTAAAATGGTTGTCAATGCATATAACATAAAACAACCTGACCAATAACTTTTAAATTTATTTTCCATTAACTTACCAATATCTGCAAAAGGTTATGTATCCCTATAATAAGAAAATATTTCTGAAATATTAAATAGTTGATGTAAAGCTAAATGTACAGTAGGATAATAAACTCTAGAAAGTAATTCAGTAGCATTGTAAAAAACTTTCAGAAATTTTAAAAAATACTCACCAATCTGCCAATCTGTATCAAAAATTAAAAGTTGATAGTTCTTACTATTGACATACGTCGTGATAAGCTATGAATACGGAAGTGCTGCCTTCAACATTAAATAGATGCAATTCCACATATGTCTCACATCAATTAGAAACTTTCTTGGGCGCATCTGAATGTTCCTGTAATATTATTTGAATTCTTGGAGCCGAGCTCCAGAACTAGATATGAATGATAAATATTCTCTAATATTTGTTAGATTAGTGAAATATGTTCAATTCATGCCTGAACTACTAAATTAATTATGTGACATGCACACCATTGATGAAAAATCTCCCCTCCCCCCTCCCCAAACGATGGTTTCAAACTACGTTTAAACATGTTAATTGCAGCCGTGTTAGCTGACACATTATCAAAAGTAATAGTTAAAACTTTATCTTTTATCCCATAAAACTCAAAATTTTCCATTATTATACCAAAAATAGATGATACGTTATGAGGATATGGACATAAACGAAAACCAATTATTCTCTTTTGTAAAACTCATTCGTCATCAACATAATGCGCCGTGACACATAAATATCCAGTTTTATTACACCTTTCTCATATATCAGAAGTGCAAGAGACAGTAGCATTAAAAGTCCTAAAATTATCAACAAAAGATTGTCTCATTGCATAAAACACTTTCATGCAATCAGAACGAGTTGTGTTTCTACTTATCCGTTTAAATTGTGGGCAGGCAAAAGGCTGTCTGGATGAATTCTTCGAACAACGCATCATCTATAAAAGAAAGAGACAATTCGGCACTAGCTAGAATTGTTACCGTTGGGCCCTTCGCGGGCCCAATGGGCAGCCCGTGACGAGCCTAACGGGAGGCCCGTCATGGGCCAAACGGGAGGCCTATAACGGGCCAAACGGGAGGCTCGTCACAGGCCGACCGTTGGGCCCGCAAAAGGGCCCAATGATCACATTTAGAACGGTCTGCAGGCCAATGTCGGCCCGAAAAAGGGCCAAATCCCGGCTTGGGCCGAATTGGGCTTGGGCCGGGCTGCAGGCCTTCACGGGGTAGGGCCGGGCTTGGGTCACGGGTTGAGAAGCCGAGGCCCAACCCTAGCCCATTACACGTGTCGGGCCG